GGGGCCCTGCCCGCCTCTCGGCTCTCGCTGGGCTCCACTGCTGCTTCCTCGAGTGGGGTCGTTGGCTCCTTGGGGCAGGACGAGGTGTTCCTCGGCCGGTGGTGCACAGGCAGGTGGATCTGCACCACCAAGGTGCGAGTAACGCGTAGCTTCACGCTGGAGAGATGTACTGCAGCTCCGGGAGAGAGCGAGCTGCGGTCTGAGAGCACATCCATCGTGGGCAGGTGGTGTGCAGAATTACTGATGACTCGGGACAGCTCACCTTGCTCTGCGGCGGAAACCGGTTTGTTTCGCACCTTGGGGAACTGAGCTGTGTTTGGTGGCTGGGGCTGGGTGCGTACGTCGGCCAGAGAGGGATGGAGAAGGTGGACGTACTGTGCGGGGCGTTCTGCAGCGCAGGGCTGTGAGCGCGCTGCGGAGGTGTGCGGGTCCGTGCCCGCTCGGTGTGTGCGGGTCCGTGCCCGCTCGGTGTGCAGGTCCGTGCCCGCTCGGTGTAAGCCCGGCATCCTGGTCGGAGCTCTTTGAAATGGCTGTGACAGTCACACACAGAAACTCTGCCAGATTAACCTTTCATTTTTGCCAGATTTTCCCTTAGCTGTTCTTCATTTTACTTTCCATTAAATACACTAAATGTTTTGTAGGGACTTTTGTATTGCTCTGTTCTTTTTTACCACTGAAGTGAATGGAACTTCTGCTGTTATGATAAATGAAACTGGAAATCAGGATTCCCACTGTAATTGTATTCTTCGGATCACTCAGGAAGAACCTGAAGAAGTGTGGCAGAATCAAAAATAAATCGCAGCGCTGAACCAGTTTTAACCTGGAGTACATCAAGTGAGTTGGGAAGCAGGCTCTCAGCAGCAGGTTCTTCCACAGCATTTTTTTGTGTCTTTTAACATTCTTGCTTGATGGCATTCTGGGTGATTCACTTTTTAAAAAGCAGTTTTCCCTGCACGGCGCTTCTGTGCTCTTGACCTACTCTCGCTAAAATCCCAAAGGAAACAATGAGCAAAGGTACTGTGAGTGAAAATGTTGTGTTACAAACCCCTGAAAGTGAAACCATAACAAAAGAGTGCTGGCAGTCTTTGTTCCTGTGGAGCGGCGGTTTGAGATGGGCTGTTGGAATAAGGACAGTCTGTGTCATGTGAGAGGCCAGGTCAAAGCTGGGGGTGAGTGGGAAGAAGAGGAGAGCGATGCACGTTGTTTGCCTCTCCTCCCCTCCTCCTAGCCGTAGGGCCTGTGCTCGTACAGCTCGGGGGTTGTGCCGCTGGTGTAGCTGCCTGCTGCTTTACCAGCGCTTTTCGAATGCAGGGAGAAGACATCCGTGTCAGATGGGAGAGGAGCGCGTAGCAGATGGTCTGCCTCTCCCGAGGCACTGGGTGGAAGGAGATAATTTTGCAGGTTGCAGAACCAGAGGCTTCTTCAGAATTAAACTTTCAATGAGGATTTGAAAAAAAAAAAATATTTGAGAACCTTTCTTCGAAACGACTTTGCGCAGATAGATACGAATGTTTGTTTGCCTTTTTCCATTTTCAGACCCAAACGTGCCCCTGGTCACCGCAGAAGACACCACGCTGGAGCTCTGACAGCTTGTGGCAAATGTCCTTTTTCACTCTAGAACTTATGTAATGTGTCCAGCTAGCTGTGCATCTCGCTACATCTCGTGGCACTGCAGAAACGTGGGGAGCAGCGGGCGTGCCTGGGGTATCTCCTCTGTGTTGGAGGGCGTGACAGGGACCCGGCTCTGCGCTCCTGACTCCTGTGCCAGGCTCGAGAGCGGGCTGGCAGTGTGGCTTTGAGTGGTGAGGCTTCTTCGTGCCAAAGCTGCTTCACCTGGAGAGTGGGGTTAGTGGTGGTGTCTCTCTCGGAGTGGGTGACACCTGAGATAAGGAGGGCTAGTGATCTGGGGGTTTAAGGCAGTGCATTAAAGATGAGGCACACCAGCAGAAATGGTTCTTTGGTTTGAACACGGTGAGACAAGACCCTTGTTTATCAGCCGTAGCATGCCCTCATGGTGGAGGTCATCCAACGGCTCTCACAGTTAGTTTGCAGAAAACCGCGGTGATAAGCCCACGAGAGAGTGGCGGTTGGTCGTGGCAATAGTCGCAGGTCTGCTCCTCAGGAGTCTGTCGACTGCGCGGGGCCAGGCGCAGACCCCAGCTACCCGCTTGGTTCCCAGGGCGTGTATCTCGTCAGTGTGCCAGGAATTTACGTGGAGGCCGGTCACATTGTCACTGGTGAGCGTTTGCTGCAGTGTCCTTGTCCATGGTGTACCTCAAAATGACAATAAGAGACATTTATGGCCACCAAAATAGCTACTGAGCCTGCAGAAGTTCACGGTGGCAATAAGCCTTTGAAAGAAGGAAAAAGATCTAGGAGGTGGAAGAGGCTCTGCTTTCCTCTGGATTTGCCCCAACGCTGCTGGGTTTTGCTGGCCTCCTAGGCGACATCGTTACGCCCGTCTCGGGATGGAAGGGCTGGTGTGCCGTTGGTAGCGCTGCCATCGCTCTCCTCTGCTTTTGTCCCTCTGGTACAGCCCGTTCAGTGCTGCACACTGTGGGAGCTCTGTGCTCTTTAATTGTTGTTTGTCATCGTGGGGATTGCTTGTTCTAAAACCAATTACAACCTGACAAAACTGAGCTGCCTTATTTACAAATACATCCATCTGGTTGTGGACTGCCTGATATCACTGCCAGAATACAAGGCGGCCTTTGTTGCTGCTGCTGAGTTGCTGAAGGGCTCCCACGCCGGCATCGCCTGGAGCCGCACACGGCTTGCTGCGTGCGTGTTCCTCATAGGGCAGAGGGGATTAGCGTTTGAGGTAACAGATCCCACGTAAACCAAATAGAGATAAATGTTGGAGTGCCGTCCCTGGGCGTCAGCCGGCGCCGAGCTCGTGGTGGGTTTGGAGCGGGCGATGCGACGGAGGGTGCTGGCGCCGCGCTCGCGTGGGGATGAAGTGCGGTTGGGGTGGGTGGTGTTGGGAGGAGAGCTGGGGGCCGAGGAGCCCGGGCTGCTGGGAAGGGCCGGCGGTCGGTACCGCTGCGGGGTGCGTTCTGTGCCCTGGCCGCCGCGGAGGAGCCTGGCTGATTGCTCATCCTCCAGAAGCTCGTTTGATGGTTGAGGCAGGACTAGATTCCACCTTGGAAGCTGCAGTCTGCTGGTAGGTTTCATGTAGAAAATCGGCGAGAGAAGCAGGCAGGCGCCTGGGGTGCGAGGCTGCTGCTGCTGTGTGTGCTCCTGGAACTCAATTTTGAGAAGGCTCAAAAAAAGAAGAAAAATGGGTGACTGCTGTCAGGACATTGGAACTTAAAAACCATCACAACTGGTAGCCAAAACCTTTTCAGACTATTGTTTTTCTATGAATGTTCAGTTGCAGCTTAAAAAAGGTCTAAGACGTGATGAATCAGTACTGATTTCACCCTCAGGCCAGCAGTTCAAAGCTCAATATAGTGAATTGTGGAAGCAGTCACTAAAGGCCTCTATTCCTTGTTTACTGTGTGTGTGATCCACAGAGGGTAGAGAACAGAGACGTACATCTGTAAACAAATGTAGCACGAGGGAAACGGGGAAGAGTTGCACTTAAATTAAGTAAGTAAAATTAGCGTGACTAGGTTTCGACATATAACTGGAGGTGAGTGGATTAGTCATGCTGAATAATATATGAGATAAATTTAAGCCTATTTTTGTTTGTGACTTACCTGGGAATGAACTTTAACTTTTATATTTATAAATAATCAGTCGGTTTTCGCTGGCTGAATAACTGCCATAAATCGGTATGAACTGGAAGTACAGAATACTGCAATCTGCATGAGAAAAGCTGTGTTTACACAAATGTAAGGTTCTTTTTCTATTCCCTGTCACCATAGTAACTGAACATTTTCTGTACTGGTGAACTAGTCTTGCAATGGGATTGTGAGAAAGGAGGCTTTCATTTTACCTCCAGGGCTGAGATGGTGGGCCAGATTGTTGGGGTGCGGGGTCCCTGCTGGTCCTTGAGGCAGGCTGTGGAAATCGGGCACGTGGAGTCAAGGGGGTGTTTGGTAGCACTGCAGTGAGCTGAACCCCAGTCCTCCTCAGCAGGGGTTGGTGTCTGGGTCTGCCGGGGCAAGAAAATGATCTCCAGCTGTTTGGCCGGTTAAAGCTCTATTAGAGAAAAACAGTTCCTGCCGTTGTTTTGTGGCAGAACTGCGTGGTAACGTGGTCTGGGCCGGCAGTGGCACATGTGGGGTGGACGGCTCGGCCCTTGCACGCCACGGTGCCGCTTACTCCTCTCCTGGCACAGTGGTCCTGGTCCACCCCGCGCTCCCCAACCTGCTTTTGAGTAGCGTGGAGTCACCCCCTGGGTCCTTAGCGGCTGTGTGTCCAAAACAGTGGAGAAGTGCCCCGCGCCTCGTGGTCCGGGCCAGCGTGGTCTGCGGCTCGAAGCGACCGGCGCGGCAGTTTTGGTGGCGGATGTTCCCCAGGTGGGTCGAAGCTCGGGGCTCGTGTGCTCGTGGCCCTGCGCCAGCAGTAACGATGGCCCTCCCTGAACCCTCTGGTTTAGCTTGGACCTGCGGTGTCGTGTGAACGTGGGCTTTTGGTGTTGGGCTTGTTAACCCTGGTAACTGCTATCGTGCTGAAACTGGTGTACGTGTTCTAACCCGTGGTTTCCCCGTCGTTCTCGAGCAGTGCCTGTTTCCTGTGCTGGCTGGGCTGTTAACAGGTTTTTAATAAGAAATTTGCTGAAGTTCATTAAAGACAAGTAATTGCCCTTTGCTTTCCTCCCCCCTCCCCTTTTTTCTCCTGTTTAACAGGCTGTAGTTTATTGCTGAAAAATGCAGATACGATGCTTCATGGAGGTAATTATTTTTTTTGACAAAATGATTAATGTAAATACACATAGCTTACAGTTCAGAGGGACAGTTTGCTGGTAGTCCGTGGGCAGGGGTATGTTCTGCAGCCCCCCAGCCTCTCTGTTGCTGCTTTGTGAACAGGAGTCGGGTGAGGACGTACCACCGAGTGCGGTGGGCAGCCGAAAGCGGGAGGAGGAAATGCAGAGAGAAAGCAGAATAGCAGTAGGAAAAGAGAACTTGGCATCACCTCTCCTGACACGAGCTTTCAGTATGTATCAGGGCTCAGCTCTTCTGGCCACTGCAGCTCTAAAATAATGCTGCATTTTCTGTTCCTTCTCTCTGACGAGAACTGGTGCCGAAAGCGGCCGTGTCCCGCGGGCAGGGCGGTGGTGTGGAGCTTGCAGCTTGCACCCTGTTTCTCGGTAGCTGCCCAGCGTGCGCTGGCTCCGGCTGAATGCCCGCAGCCCTGCCGCCGAGAGCAGGCCAGCAGGGCGAGGTGCTTGGGGGGACTGCGGCTGCGCCGTGGTCTTAGGCTGGGGAACTGAGGGGTGTTCACTAGTTTTAAATCCAAATGGAAAATCGTACCTCCATGATGTTGATCTTTTCCTTAAAGCGTAGTTCTGTCTCTGTGTAATACAGCTGTTCTTCATCCAGCAGTTAATGACATATCC